GCAGGATATACAAAAAAAAATAACACTTATTGGAAAAAATATATTCGCATCGGTATTTACACGAAAATCTATTATTACGTAATTTAATAAAGTAAAGTACATATTAATTAATTAATACTGAGTAAAATAAACTGTAAATTTAAATATGTGACGTGCATGTACTGAATTGATGTAAATATTCGATGCGAATAAATTTTACCCTTTTGCTATATCATGATTTTTAACAAAATTATTGAGTTATATTGTAAATTATTTCAAGTGAAGTTCGTATTGTTACTTAAAATTTGACGATAACATTATTTTTAAAATAATCTAAATTTAACCATTCATATTTTTATATTATTTTTAACTAATTGAAGATAGATGGACCAGTAACTTAATACTACTACTAATAATTAAGGGATCAAGATTAGACTTTAGATATAACAGATATATGACAAAAGCTATAATATTTAAAAAATGAAATAGCTTTTATACTGCGTTTGGAATAAGATAAGAATTTTATTTAATTAACATGAAAACTCACTTATTTATCTCAACTTTTTGAATAAAAAAATGTGAAGAAAGTGGGAAATGTGTGTTGGACAGATTGGATTCCTTGTTTGCCTATTCATCTAAAAAAGGAATAAAAACAGGTAGACTTAGATTTAATCAAAATACACACACAAAAAAAAGAATATTATACTTATATTTATATTTTATATATGAGTACTATATATGTATATATATTAAGAAACTCAAAATGACAACTAATTTACAGTAACTTACCAACCATCCCTTTATTTTAGTGACAACTTTTTTTTTTTTTTAAAAAAAGAAATTCTGAGTATTGTTAAGACTTTCTAATCTTACAAGTCAACAATTATTGTTATCGTTGAGTATTGTGATGGAATTATAAATATTTTTTAAAAATTATCTTGATAATATATAACCTTATTATTTACGTCCCCAAGAGATTTAATAATAGTTTCACTATTTTTTGAATATATCATATATATGAGAAGTACTCGAATGAAATGCCCTCGAAGGATGTACTTAATGCCTAGTGGATGATAAAAGTGATTAAAAATAAGAGTTTGGAGCTAAAAGGGTAAAATAAAATTGTCAAAAATTTTAAAAGGGTATATCAATTTTTTTTAACCAAAACGGCAAAATCGCTCATGAATGGAGCGATTTTCAAAATTAAAAAAAAATTATAATTTTTTAATTTGCAGCGACTTACATTGAATTTATTTATTTATTTCTTGCTTTATTTTACAAAAAGAAATCAAATCAAATCATTGCCAAGGCAGCGATTTTTAATTAATTTTTTTAAAAATCAAATCGCTGCAAAGGCAGCAATTTACACTTAATTTTTTTTAAAAAAAACTTAACTAAATCGGGTAATTTTTTTTGCAGCGATTTAATTAAATTTTCAAAAATAAAAATGAAGGGTAAATAATGCAGCGATTTGATTTAAAAAAATTAATTAAGACAACAATTAGATTTTTTTTTTAAATAAAGCAAAAAATAAAAAAATTAAATTTTTTAATGTAAGTCGGATTTTGCTTTTTTCGACAGACGAAATCGCTACATCATAAGCAATTTTACCGTTTTGATTAAAAAAAATTGATATGCACTTTTAGAATTTTTGACAATTTTTTTTTACCCTTTTGACCCTAGATTCTTGAAAATAATAAGGTCTTAAATACAAATTATATTCTAGCTTTGATAACCAATGTTATATTGATATAAGTTGGTGTACAAAATTACATACATTTCGTATAATTAATTGAAATACATATATATGACTGCCTCTCACATTTTTAGTTGCTAAATAGTCATTGGAAAAATATATTTACAAAAGGAAAAATACTTTTGGCCAGAAGATACGACCAAAATAACATTTTATTTATATTATTTTATCTTTTTAAATATTTTTACCATTTTAATTTTAATATTTTTTAACTAAAAAGTAGAAAAAAAGATTATTTATTTTAAAATTAAAAAAATATTATAGATTTTTTAATTTTCTGATCTAATTGTGGCCAAATTCTCTGTCCATTTAGCATTTTCTTTACAAAATACCCTAGAAATCAAAAAGAAGAATTGCCGGAAGCAAACATTTGGAGAATTAAAGATGGTTAAATATTAAGGTTCTTTAAATATCTTTTTTTCGTTATATTAAATTAAGAAAATTAAGATGACATTAAAGATCATCATAATCGAACGTTAAGTATATTTTTATCCTTAATAGAAAGTTTGAATATGAAATCTGAAAATGAAATCAACTTTGATAAAAAAAAAGTTATATTTTTCACGTAAAATTATTTTTGACTTTAAATTTAAATTAGACGAAGATCAAAATTGTATAGTAACTTGATAGATAATGTCTTGGTGACCAAGAATGTACCGCAATTTACGCACTTACTTTTTATTTATTTTTTCTTCTCTTTTAAAGGGTTAGAAAATTAATTATTGTGGTGCCCAAGAAAGAATTTTGGTAATTTGCCGTTGCCTTTTTTAAATTCTTTTTGAGTTATATTACTTATTTGAAGTTTAGAACTAATTTTTATTAATTTATTTTTGAAGCATTTGTTTAAAATATCCATTACAATAATACTAAAAGTTGTGATCACAATTACACAATCCGACTAAATTATACTAACATAAAAAAAAAATAGTATGGTATATAAGATATTTTGTATTCACATAAAATTTGTAAAAAAATCACTTTCGAGAAGTGTGATGTATATAATTTATAATAATATAAATATTAGTAATTATTTTTACAGTTAGAACTTGTAAATTAAGAATCGGAGGAAATTTTTTTGATAAATTAATATAAAACTTCATTTTTAGGGGATATAAAAAAGTACAACTTTGATATTTGTGCTTTATACGTTCGAAAACAACTTGGAAATATTTCATAAAATATCTTCCTAAAAAGAAACTATATAATATGTCTTAAATTAGCTATAATTATGATGGTATGAATATAATTTCTTTATTTTTAATTATAAATTTTGAGTACAAATTAATCTGTAAAAATATTTAAATCGAAGGGGAGAAATTTGCCAACCGTTGATCAAATGCATATAATGAATATATGGCTTTTGGACACAATTATATTTACTGAATGAATAATATAGCACATGCAAAAGCTAATAATATAAATCACCACTACAAACATCTTATAAAATTATTTATTTCTTTTCACAACTTATTTTTGAGAATTTAAAGTTTTAAGTCAAAATTTTCTTTCAAAATCATAATATTTTTGAGTCGAAAGTCGATTAAAAATAATATATTTACATTTTAAGGTAAGAATAAAACTTGCACCTATTTACTCTTTGAATATGTATTTTTTTAATATAATTTTTGTTGTTTTATATATTTCGATTTCATAATTTAAGATATTATGTTCGTTTTCTTTTTTTTTTTAGATTAAACTAACCTATTGGATAAAGATCAAATTCAATACATAACATACACTTAATCTGCACATCACGTGTTGTGATCTTATTATTAAATCAGAGCTCTACAACCTATTACTATTTGCCAGTAACATAGTTAGGTATTTTGACTTAGCGTGCTTTCACATATATAGAGAAAAAACATTTATTAAACAATCTAATTCATTTTTTATTTAATTCCATTGTCAACAATAATCAATATCGACTTGTGACACTATTGAGTGAATAAGTGTTTTGCCATCAAGAAATTTTTAATTTTCTATTTAGAGGTCGCAAATGTTACATCCTTTTATAATAAATAATACAATTTGCTAGTTCCTTATTATCATTAGTAACAAATAAAATTATTCTTAATTAATATTATAATATTGTTGACAAAAACAATTATCAAAATTATCATATTAAATCTTAGATAATGTATAATCAAGAAATCCACCCTTTTACAACATACCATTGGTAGGTAAGTTTGGTAGCTCACATACATCTCTCAAATCGAGTTGCTTGAAAATTGATTCGAAAAAGAAAGTTATTAAAATTATGTATAAATTAATTTGAATAAAGTATTATTGAGTTACACAAAAATTAATCCAAACCTATAAAATTAAATTAAATTAATTCGAATAGAAAATAATTGAATCGCACGAAAATTGATCCGAACAAAATCTTTTGTAGGTAAGTTGTATTTCCCATCCTCCTTGGTTCCATCTTCCCTCCAAGAACCTAAAACCCTCAAAACCCTGCCCCCTTTTCTCATCTCATATACTTTTATCATCATTTGGACTCAATTTCCCATGAAATTATATCTACAAACAGTCTTTATGTGATTAAATTTGAAGAATTTCAGCCCAAAAAACCCAAAAAGAATCAATTTTTATGTTACCATTATCAAGAATGAAATCACTCCTTTCCCCAGTACTTTCAAGACCCACCATCATGTTTGTATGCAGGGGATATGGGGTTCTTAGCACTTTCAAGAACCTTAATTCTGCTCAAACAATGAACCCCATGAGTAAAGTTTCTTCCTTTAGGTGTTCTACTGTGCAAAATCATAGTCAAATTCGGGTCTTGAGTAGTGAGGCATCGGGTTCTAATTCTGGTTCTGGTTCTGGTGAGGTTCATGTGATTGTGGGTCCTATGTTTGCTGGAAAAACTACTACACTTTTGAAGAGGATTAAGTCTGAGAGAAGCAATGGCAGGTTAGTTTTATCAATCTGTTTCTCATTTGGTTGTGTAATGAAATGCTGTGCATATTTAAAGTTTAAATCTTTTTATACTATTCATCTGTTGGAGTAGAAATATTCTGGTAGTTTCGGTTCTTGGTTATTACCTGTGTTTGTTTTATGCTTGGTTATCCCCTTATTTCGTTGTTGCTGCTGTTCTTTCTTCTGTATGTTGTGTACTGTTTTTCATTTCACATTATTTAGATGTTGTTACTGTTCTTCAAAGCCAAAGGTCTATCGAGAACAACTTGGGGGTAAGGTTAGCGTGCACTCTAACTTACCCATACTCCACTTGTGGTATTTACACGGGATATGATGTTGTTGGAGCAGAAAGTGTGCCTCGGCTGTTTTTTGGGGCCATAAGTAAACTGGTATCTGTTTGGTTTCCTCTCACGAGGATTATCTTCTTAGCTACTTACTTTATAGTGTCTTATACCTCACACAAGCTTTGTAGAACTTATATAAGTAGGACTTTTGGCTAAATCTCAAGACTTTGATGCACTATATAGACCTTATAATGAAACATGGAAGATGATGCATTGAGTCCAATGATTGTAAGTGTTTTTTTCTTGCCTCAGAATTTGTTTTGGTCAATAGCTTATCAGTGGCAGGGAGAGAATGGGTATGTTATTCAGTAACATAATAAAATCATCTTTTCAGCAGTGTGTTGCCATTTTGTGCTATTTTTATCGAAGACCAATTTTCTGGGTGATGGTTTATTTGGTTGAATATAACCGTAAAGATATCTTTCACGAGTTTAAGAACATGGTTGGGCAAGAGTTCAACGTGAGAGTCCCGACTTTAGTCATTTATATCATCTCCAGTGAGGGTGCTCTTTTCTTAGTTCGATTTCACACTTGGCTTTCAAATAAGCAACTTGTTGGTACTTGTTAAAAGAAAACCAAGTTGTTGCAGCACTAAATTCAATTACTACAAGGCTTCAAGTGTCCTTTCTGCTGTTTAGACTTGTTTTCTCCGCAGTTCTAGTTGTTAAAAGTTTAGGAATTTTTCTTGTTGCTCAACCTTTCATCTTTCTCATTGAATAATCGTCCCTTACTTCTGAATATTGTTGTTCTTGAATCAGCTTTTTTGTGTTCCCTTTCCTTTCTTCCCTGGGGTGTAGAAATCTCCATGCTCTTTGGCTCGCTTATGTAGAGGAAGTAAAAGTTGGACCATGTTATTCAAATGACATTTGAATTGAAATCATGATTGGTAATATTCCCAGTTTTCAGGCCAATGGAGTAAAGAATTCCCTCTATTTGGATGAGACGATAAAAGGTCTCTGTTTCTCAGGAAGGGTGGCTGAAGCAGTTGGAATATTGTGCTGCTCTGGTGTACAGGTGGAGGCAGAAACTTATTCCCTTGTTTTACAAGAGTGCATTTTCCGCCAAGCGTATAAGAAAGGGAAAAGAGTCCATTGGCAAATGATTACTGTCGGCTTTGTTCCAAATGAATATCTGACTGTTAAGTTGTTAATTTTGTATGCAAAAGCAGGAGATTTGGATACATCACACAATATATTTGATAAGTTACAATTCAAAAGCTTGGTTTCGTGGAACGCTATGATTGCTGGGTATGTGCAGAAGGGCATGGAGGAAGTAGGCCTGAGTCTGTACCATGATATGAAACAGAAATATGTACTTCCAGATCAGTATACCTTTTCATCAGTCTTTAGAGCCTGTGCCTCTTTAGCTGTCTTGGAGCAGGGCAAGCAAGCACATGCTTTGTTGATTAAAAGCCAAATTAGTGGAAATATTGTAGTTAATAGTGCACTTATGGACATGTATTTCAAGTGTAGTTCTCCATCTGATGGCTATCTCGTGTTTAGTAAGTCCTTGGAAAGGAATGTGATAACATGGACTGCTCTGATATCAGGGTATGGACTAAATGGAAGAATAAAAGATGTTCTGGAATCATTTCATAGGATGATAGATGAAGGATATAGGCCAAACCATGTTACGTTTCTGGCAGTTCTTTCTGCTTGTAGCCATGGAGGTCTGGTAGATAGAGGTAAGGAGTATTTTTCATCTATGATGAGAGATTATGGGCTTCAACCAAGAGGAAAGCACTATGCAGCTATTGTGGATCTTCTAGGCCGTGCTGGAAGATTACAAGAGGCTCATGAGTTTGTCAAAAACTCACGTTGTGAGGAGCACCCAGTATTATGGGGCGCTTTACTTGGGGCTTGTAAGATTCATGGTGATATCGAGATGGTAAAACTTGCTGCTAGAAATTTCTTCGACTTGGAGCCTGAGAATGCAGGCAAATACGTTGTCTTATCTAATGCTTATGCTTCTTTTGGTTTGTGGAACAATGTTGCGGAGATAAGGAGACTGATGAAAGACTCGGGGGTGAAAAAGGAGCCTGGTTATAGTATGATTGAGGTTCAAAGACAAGCACATTTCTTCTTTATGGAACATAATGCTCATGAACAGACTGTTGAAATGTATAAATTGGTCAAAGATATGGCAGGCATCTTAAAAGATGCTGGCGATGTTCAAGATTTACTGAGTTAAAGAGAAAAGACAAATGACAATATAGCATGAACATTTGATTGAATCCTCAGCCACTTAGCTGCAAAGAGTCTTATTGAACGGGCAATTTGCTGTATCTCGAAAAGTGCCATGCATGTTACACTCAAGCTGTATGCTCGTATCCTTTTAAGCTATAAAAGTGGAAACACTTTCAAACATAGAAAGAGAAACAGGCTTCAGCCTTTGTGCTACAAGTCGGGAATGCACTTTCCAGACACAAGCAATGCTTGCCTGGAATTTGTGATTTTTCGACAGAAATCTTCTGAGGAGATGCCATTTGCCTTTGAATGCAAAAATTGGATTGCGATCTCCCCACAGTTTCAACTGTTAGTTTGGCAAGCAGGGGCTTGCTATTTGCTTCTATGAGGAACATGTATGTGAACAAACAGATAAATTGCCTTATTACCAAGTAATGTGATGGCCTCGGTCTATTGGATGTGATTCTTAATAAAATAAGTCTTACCATTGAAAACATATTGTCTTAAGGTCATCTTTTACTGTATTGCAGTAACAGCGGAGTTGGGTAGTTTCCAATAAAATGCTTAAAGAACCATACCTCATCATAATTTGAACCTATAGCAAATGAGTTTATTTCTTCTATGATACTACATACCAACCAATGCTGCCATGGATTGATGAAATTTGGCATTCTAGGAAATCTATTTGTATTTGTTTCTTATGCTATATTGCTATATCTGGTGGTCAAGCAGATCATTCTGTGCTGTTGGCAAAATACATTTAGGCAATGTATTTATAAGTGTTGGTAGTGTTTGAAAAGATTTTAGAATCTTTACCAACCTATGAATGTTACTCTGGAACTGACATAATTCCATCTACCTGGCACATCAAGAGCTGCAATTGTGTGAACAAGCATTAAAAAGTGGGTGGAAATTTATGTCTTCATGTAGTGGAAATATTAATGACTACTTCTCGGATAAATCAGGATATACAAGTCTTTTGACAGTTTACTTTTTTGTGTTAAGACTATGCAATCCTTATTTTAGTTGCAGTTTGCATGGCTCTCTATCTTCACTGCATACTTTTGTTATCCTTTCTAATGCATCCTGTTGAACACAAATATAAGCTTGAGCCTTCAGTTCCTTCCCAGTTGAACACTTGAACTGCAGTTTGTGTACGGATCAATCTCGTGTAGCCAGCCGTGCAGAGAAGTAGAACCAGCATATTCTCTTTCCTTTTGTTCAATTGATGTATTCCAAAGGAGATTGGTCCTATCTTGTGTGGATAACCATATAATACATTTTTTCTGACTTCTGAGATTGTTCCTATTATTCTTTACATCAAAATTTACCAAGTTATTAATTACCTTGAAGATCTCAAAAGTTCGATAATATAATTATGGACATATAATTTGGATTCACAAAGCATGCTAACTTCTGAGTTTTGAAGTGCTGCTTGAACTTTGATGATCTTGATAGGTATTTAAGGCTTCCTTATGTTCTCATATCATTGTCTGATTTAGCTTTTGTGCTATTTCCCCTTTCTGCAGAAGTGTAGCAATTTTAAAGTCAGACAAGGATACAAGATACGGGTTGGATTCCATTGTGACACATGATGGAGACAGATTGCCGTGCTGGCCTTTAGCTAATCTATCATCATTTAAACAGAGATGTGGACCTGAAGCATACAGTAAGGTAATATTTCAATGGGAAGCTATTGAAATATAATATTTTAGATGATTGTCATAGGACCTTCTCCACAAATAGTCAGGGTGCTAGCAGCCTATCTGTGTTAGCAGCAGAAAATATTCTCCAAAAAATATAGGGCAAAGAAGTCTATTTTTGAGTGTGTTCTTCTGAAAATTTTCAATTTTATGGGTTAAATTTTATTTCTTAAGAAGTTAGGGGCTCCACCCCGCCAAATCTATCGTAGTTGTGAGGGGAAATGATATAATCACGAAACACTCTTTTGTAAGTTGGTCACTGAACTTTCTTTGCTAGTATGCACTCTTTTGTAAGTTGGCCACTGAACTTTCTTTCATAGTATGTAACAATACTGTATCATTACTTTTTATTATTACTTGTTTTTCTTTGTATATGTGATTACCTGTTTTTGTGACTGTTACGTGGTTTCAGTTAGAGGTCATTGGCATTGACGAAGCTCAGTTTTTTGAGGATCTATATGATTTCTGTACGGAAGTTGCTGATCATGATGGCAAGATTGTGATAGTTGCTGGGTTAGATGGTGACTATCTAAGGTACTACTTCCATTTAGTCTCTGTGCTCTCTAATGTACTCATAATTGATACGTTTTTTTGTGAGACAGATATTTTGCTTATTCTTCCGAAAATTTCTTATGTACTGAATGTGATTCTTTATTGCAAAAACTCGTGTAATGATCTGTATTGGATCATATTTTGGATTTTGCAGAAGGAGCTTTGGTTCAGTCCTTGACGTAATACCAATTGCTGATTCCGTGACCAAACTTACTGCGCGATGTGAACTTTGTGGTGAACGTGCTTCTTTCACCTTGAGGAAGACAGAAGAGACGAGAACTGAGTTGATTGCAGGAGCAGAAGTATATATGCCTGTCTGCCGCAAGCATTATGTGAGTGGACAAGTAGTCAAAGAGGCTGCTAGAAGTGTTCTGGAGTCCCAGAAAGTTGAATGCAGCTCTATTTTGTAATATCCCAAGCTCCAAGTACATAGGACTTAGAAATATTAACCAACTATTGTACTTACAAGTTCCAAGTGTGTCAACTGGCCAAGCCTTTCTGCTGGTGGAAGGTTGCTAGTAGAATTATCGAGGTGCGAGCAAGCTGGCTCGAACACCATTTTAAAAGAAAAATACTACTGTACTTTCAAGTCATTTTTATGGGGAGTTGCTCTTTCAAACTGTTTCTATGATTATTCTAGCATATTTAATTTCCGTATGTAACGAATACACTTCTGAATCTAAGGAATAAAATTCCTGACTCAACAACATAGCATATCCCAAACATAAAAAAACAAAGATGTCTTGAATCTACAAAGTAAAAAGTGTCTATTAAATATAAATGGTTGATCATTGAGATGACATCTTTTCCAGGTTTGGCGTCAATAAGATTTGAGCTATATACAATTAAAACTTTTACTAGGTACAGTTGAATTCTTTCCAACTTTGGTTTCAATAAGATTTGAGCTATGTGCCATTAAAACTTTAACTAATCTTGATGGAACGCTTCCTGTCCATATACCTGTCAATATAGACACCGATGAATCGTACGATATTTTGCTATAGCAGGCAAAAAGAACGTTGTTATAGAGAGATTATTAAAGGACGTAATGATGTTTGGCAAGACGAACTAATATTTTTGCATCATTAATTAGAAGAATATTAATTAAAAGCGTTCCGGATTTTGATGACTCTATTCAAATTTCTAAACAACACTTTTACCAATTCTTTTGAAGGCGAGTGCAAAGTACTTCTTCTCAAAGTATTTTGATAATTGAAATCTACCTAAATTTATACCGAACCTTAATTCAAGTCAAAGAGCAAATATGAAACGATTTGCAATAGAGAAGAGAAACTATATGTTATTACTTATCCCATGATCACGGGCAAAGTATGGGGGTTTACAATCTTTTTTAAGTAGTTTCCTTTCTGAGAGGGTTAGTGATATGATTGATGCAAACATCTAAAGATATACATCCATTTTCATAGTTTGTAGCCAAATGTCATGAGAGGGGAAGAAATTAGAGTTGTGAAGAAATTAGAGTTGTGGAGAGGTTTGTATAAGACTTTAAAAACCACTAGAATATAGAATAAATCTTAGAAAGACTATAATTCTCCAAGAGTTTATAGAGAATTCTAGAAGAAAAATTGAGAGTGTTTGGATTCAGTTAAAAGTTGGTCTAACTACTTTTAAATCGTCTTTTGACTTCTTAAAATGTTTGGTAAATATAAAAAATAACTTAAAATAAGTCCAAAATCACTTAAATAGGTTAGAAAGTGTTTGACAAGGTCAGAAATGACTTAAAATAAGTTTAAAAGGACTTAAAACAAGTCAAAAATCAAAGTGGGTCTCCTCTATTTTTTTTTTTTTACTTAAAAGTCATTTCAGTTTGTCTTTTTATTTTTGACGTATACTTTTTTTTTCCGTATGCCGCAAGGAGCGTTAGTCGAAGCTGAATCTGTGACATCGTGGTATAAGAGGGAGAGATCAACGCTTCTAGCACCACCAATGTTTAGGCTGAATGGTGGAAAGAAGCACAACAATGCTCGGTCCTATACCAAGCAACGCGCTAACATCTTACTGAGTTTGTCTTTATACTTGCTAGCATTGTTGAGTTTGTAATAATAAGCCCAAATTTTTGAAGAACTTGTTGATGAAAATTTTGAATCAGTAATTTCATCATATGTTAAATTTTCTTCCAAATTAAAATATTGAAAAGAAAGAAGAAAATCTTCATCATACATTGGAGATTTCTTGTTTGAATTCTTTATCACAAATAGAGAAAATGAAAAACTTTTTTTTTTAATCAAGTGCTATTGGGCTTGTTTTGAGTTTATAATAGAGGTGTGCACTATTTGAATTGGACCGAAAAATCGGACCAAATCAAATCGAATTCTAATTTAGATTGATTTTTTGGATTCTTGGTTTGATTATGAATTTATAATTTACTTTGTTTGATTTTTTGGTTTGATTTCGAATTTAGAAAAATGAAATCTGAAAAAACAGAATTATATATATATTTCTATTATATAGAAGAGTGAAGTGGGAGGACAACCAAGGGCAAAACTTTAATTTTACTCTAACAAAAATCTATGAAGAAAGATAATAAATAATTCTAGAATTATCTTTCTATATATGAAGTGAATAATGATCAAGGGCAAAACTGTAATTTCACGCTAACAAAAATCTACCAAGAATGATAACAAAAAATTTCTATTATCGATTATATAGAAGATTGAAGTGGGACGACGATCAAGAGCAAAACTGTAATTTCACTCTAACAAAAAACTATGAAGAAAGATAATAAATAATTCTAGAATTATCTTTCTATATATGAAGTGAATAATGATCAAGGGCAAAAATATAATTTCACGCTAATAAAAATCTGCCAAGAATGATAACAAAAAAATTTAAATAGTTCTAGAAACATCTTAAGTTATTGTTATTACTATTAACTTATTTTGTTATTAGTTCATTTCCTTTTTATTTCTTTTAGGGATAATGCCCAAGTACCCCCTCAACCTATGCCCGAAATCTCAGAGACACACTTATACTATACTAAGGTCCTT